ACCCGTATCCCCCCCCCCCCCCAATCAAAATTAGTAAGGCCACTGCTGCCTTCAGAAAGCAATTAGAGCATCCCAAAGTGAGGTGCTAACACAAGACATCCCGGCACAGATCAGTCGACAAGTGGTCAAGTGATGGTGGTGGTGGTGGTAGATGTCGAGCGGTCGAGCCACGTATAACGGTCGTTATACTGCCCGTCGTTAACCTGGTCGTTAACTGCGCGGAACGACCAGGTTAACCATTCGAGTCGTCCAGGGAGAGAACACCACGTGGTGTGTGGTGTTCCACCACGTGAGCTGCCACATCCAACAGTCTGGTTGACCAGTCGAGCAACGAGGAGGCCTAGTCGAGGACCGGGCCGCGGGGACGCTAAGCCCCGAAATCATCGCAAGGACACCGCAAGGTAGTCAACACCCATTATTGCTAAGATAAAGGAATCTTACTTTGTTACTGTTGTTTATGGTGGTGGTAGGTAATGGTGGAGTGGTGGTTATGGTGGTGGTAGGTAATGGTGGAGTGGTGGTTATGGTGGTGGTAGGTAATGGTGGAGTGGTGGTTATGGTGGTGGTAGGTAATGGTGGAGTGGTGGTTATGGTGGTGGTAGGTAATGGTGGAGTGGTGGTTATGGTGGTGGTAGGTAATGGTGGAGTGGTGGTTATGGTGGTGGTAGGTAATGGTGGAGTGGTGGTAGTGGTAGTTATGGTGGTGGTAGGCAACCCGTTCTCGCACTTCATTACAGTCAATATTGACTTATTTAATACATGCATATGTGACATACTAAACATACTAGTTTACCTTGAAAAGCTTCATAGAAAACACCGACCTTACCTAACCTTCTTAGTATGTTAAGATAAGCATCTTAAGCAATAAGATGTTAAGATAAGCATCTTAAGCAATAAGGTGCTTATCTTAACATACTAAGAAGGTTAGGTAAGGTCGGTGTTTTCTATGAAGCTTTTCAAGGTAAACTAGTATGTTTAGTATGTCACATATGCACGTATTTAATAAGTCAATATTGATTATACGAAAGTGCGAGAACGGGTTGTGGTAGGTGGTGGTGCGCGAGGTGGTGGGAAAACGTGGAACACATGGAAAATACTGGAGGGACAGGTACCAAATCTATACATTAAAATAACAACATACTGGAGTGAAGAAAATGCAGAATAGAACCAGTGAAGAGCAGAGGTGCCATAGGCACAATCAGAGAACACTGTATAAACATCAGAGGTCCACGGTTGTTCAACGTCCTCCCAGCGACTATAAGAAATATTGTCGGAACAACCGTGGACATCTTCAAGCTAAAACTAGATTATTTTCTCCAAGGAGTGCCGGACCAACTGGTGGTGCCGGACTGGTGGTTATGGTGGTTGGGGTGATGGTGAGGGTGGTAGTAGTGGTAGTGGTGGTGGCGATGTTACCAATCAGTGCCAACAGGGAGTTAGATCTAGCTCCCTTGGCCCCGCATCCTTGCTATTGGAACATGGAGAACGCGATTTAAATCTCTTGCCGTTCGAATTTAGTGTCGTGGGAGCGTGTTGTTGTTAGTGGTAGAAGTGCTGTTGTTGGTGGTGGTAGATGTGCTGTTGTTGGTGGTGGTAGATATGCCGTTGTTGGTGGTGGTAGATGTGCCGTTGGTGGTGGTGGTAGATGTGCTGTTGGTGGTGGTAGATGTGCTGTTGTTGGTGGTGGTACATGTGCTGTTGTTGGTGGTGGTAGATGTGCTGTTGTTGGTGGTGGTAGATGTGCTGTTGTTGGTGGTTATGTGTTGGTGGTGGTAGATGTGCGTTGGTGGTGTGGTAGATGTGCTGTTGGTGGTGGTAGATGTGCTGTTGTTGGTGGTGGTACATGTGCTGTTGTTGGTGGTGGTAGATGTGCTGTTGTTGGTGGTGGTGGTAGATGTGCTGTTGTTGGTGGTGGTAGATATGCCGTTGTTGGTGGTTGTAGATATGCTGTTGTTGGTGGTGGTAGATATGCCGTTGTTGGTGGTGGTAGATGTGCTGTTGTTGGTGGTGGTAGATATGCCGTTGTTGGTGGTGGTAGATGTGCCGTTGGTGGTGGTGGTAGATGTGCTGTTGGTGGTGGTAGATGTGCTGTTGTTGGTGGTGGTACATGTGCTGTTGTTGGTGGTGGTAGATGTGCTGTTGTTGGTGGTGGTAGATGTGCTGTTGTTGGTGGTGGTAGATATGCCGTTGTTGGTGGTTGTAGATATGCTGTTGTTGGTGGTTGTAGATATGCTGTTGTTGGTGGTGGTAGATATGCCGTTGTTGGTGGTGGTAGATGTGCTGTTGTTGGTGGTGGTAGATATGCCGTTGTTGGTGGTGGTAGATGTGCTGTTGTTGGTGGTGGTAGATATGCCGTTGTTGGTGGTGATAGATATGCTGTTGTTGGTGGTGATAGATATGCTGTTGTTGGTGGTGGTAGATATGCCGTTGTTGGTGGTTGTAGATATGCTGTTGTTGGTGGTTGTAGATATGCTGTTGTTGGTGGTGGTAGATATGCCGTTGTTGGTGGTGGTAGATGTGCTGTTGTTGGTGGTGGTAGATATGCCGTTGTTGGTGGTGGTAGATGTGCTGTTGTTGGTGGTGGTAGATATGCCGTTGTTGGTGGTGATAGATATGCTGTTGTTGGTGGTGATAGATATGCTGTTGTTGGTGGTGGTAGATATGCCGTTGTTGGTGGTGATAGATATGCTGTTGTTGGTGGTGATAGATATGCTGTTGTTGGTGGTGGTAGATATGCCGTTGTTGGTGGTGATAGATATGCTGTTGTTGGTGGTGGTAGATATGCTGTTGTTGGTGGTGGTAGATATGCTGTTGTTGGTGGTGGTAGATATGCTGTTGTTGGTGGTGGTAGATGTGCTGTTGTTGGTGGTGGTAGATATGCCGTTGTTGGTGGTGATAGATATGCTGTTGTTGGTGGTGGTAGATGTGCTGTTGTTGGTGGTGGTAGATATGCTGTTGTTGGTGGTGGTAGATATGAGGTGTTTATCGAGTTCTCTCGCAACACTGAGGGGCAGGATATTTATGTCCCGTATGAGCAGTGGAAGCGTGTTGAACGGTCTCGGGCCTCTGATGTTGATTAAGATGTCTTCAAGAAGCATTTTGATAAGTTCCTGTAACAAGTGCCAAACCAACCAGGGTGTAGTGGATATGTGGGCCTGCGGGTCGCTCCAGGCAACAGCTTGTTGGATCGAGTTCTCACGAGTCAAGCCTGGCCTCAGGCCGGGCGCGGGGAGTAGAACTCCCAGAACCCTCTCCAGGTATGCTTTAGGTATATGGCGGTGTGCAGGCTGGCCAGCCTTGCACACCACAATATGACCAACCATGCACCAAAGGCACTGCTGTGGGAGTAGTGCCACGCTACGAGACGAGGGACAAGGACGACGATGCCAATCATGGGGCAGTGCCTGGTAACCAATCAGGCTGAGGAGACACGGCCCCGTTACCTTGGCACCCGACCACTACACAAGACACGCTTCGAACGACCACCGCCCTCTACTCCACCCTCCCACTTTCCCCTCACCCACATCCGTACCCAACATACCCACACCAAGACACTCACACCCAGTACATGCACGCCCCTCCCTCCCACCGTACCAGCACTGGAACCCACCAACCATGTGGTACCTTGTGAAGCTACCAGCGGTCAACAGCCCCGCGGCCCAGTCTCCGACTAGGCCTCCCCGTTGGTCGTCTGGTCCTGGTTGATGGGTCTGGGAGTTCTGGGAGTTCATCTGGGAGTTCTACTCCCCAAGCCCGGCCCGAGGCCAGGCTTGACCTGTGGGAGTTTGGTCCACCAGGTTGTTGCTTACAGCGGCCCGCAGGCCCACTTACCCACCACAGCCCAGTTGATCCAAGCTGTGGTGGGTATGTGGTATCATCGCAATGTTACCTCGAGGTTGTTTCGGGGCTTAGCGTCCCCGCGGCCCGGTCGTCGACCAGGCCTCCTGGTTGCTGGACTGGTCAACCAGGCTGTTGGACGCGGCTGCTCGCAGCCTGACGTATGAGTCACAGCCTGGTGGATCAGGTATCCTTTAGAGGTGCTTATCCAGTTCTCTCTTGAACACTGTGAGGGGTCGGCCAGTTATGCCCCTTATGTGTAGTGGAAGCGTGTTGAACAGTCTCGGGCCTCTGATGTTGATAGTTCTCTCTCAGAGTACCTGTTGCACCTCTGCTCTTCAACAGGGGTATTCTGCACAAGTAAAGGTCAGGTAAAAGGTACTCCAGTATATTCCATGTATAAATTATTTGTATTATGATTATGTGATGGGATGTATGAAGGGTAGGAATAGGTTGAATGAGGAGGAGGAGGAAGGGGAGGAGAGAGGGCAGGGGTGGGAGCAGGTGTAGCAGGAGGAGAAGGAAGGTCAGCACCAGGGGGGCAGGAGGAAGAAGGCCGTCCTGGCAGGCTGACAGAGTGGGTATTGATCAGCGGAGCAACAACTGCCGTCCCTTGCCTGCCCCTCAGCACCTCCCCTGCCAACAACTGCCACCTACACCTGTCACGCCCACTCACACCTGTCACGCCCACTCACACCTGTCACGCCCACTCACACCTGCCACGCTCACTCACACCTGTCGCGCCCACTCACACCTGTCACGCCTACTCACACCTGTCACGCTCACTCACACCTGTCACGCCCACTCACACCTGTCACGCCCACTCACACCTGCCACGCTCACTCACACCTGTCGCGCCCACTCACACCTGTCACGCCTACTCACACCTGTCACGCTCACTCACACCTGTCACGCTCACTCACACCCACTCACACCTGTCACGCCCACTCACACCTGCCACGCTCACTCACACCTGTCACGCCTACTTACACCTGTCACGCCCACTCACACCTGCCACGCTCACTCACACCTGTCACGCCCACTCACACCTGCCACGCTCACTCACACCTGTCGCGCCCACTCACACCTGTCACGCCTACTCACACCTGTCACGCCCACTCACACCTGTCACGCCCACTCACACCTGTCACGCCCACTCTCACCTGTCACGCCCACTGTCATAGCTACGCCTGTCACGCCCTCTGTCATAGCTACACCTGTCACGCCCTCTGTCATATCTACACCTGTCACGCCCTCTGTCATAGCTACATCTGTCACGCCCACTGTCATAGCTACACCTGTCACGCCCACTGTCAT